TTCAACTGGTTCACGGTGATGTGCTAACGTTGTTAAATCTTTTACGTCATATTTTTAAGTAGAAGAAGAAGGTTATTTCAGAGCAAGGTCTGATACTCGTACGCGCTATTCTTAGCTAAAAAAACAACCTTTCAACTTCTTCCGAAAATAAGGTTGGCAGTTACGGGCGGCAGAATTGGCATTAGCGTTTTAGCATTTCAAGCTGCATCTAATAGTATGTGTCCCTTTCTAACTCATCACCTGAATGAATGTTAATGCTTTAAAAAAAGAGATTTTCTATTCTGGATACGAGAAATAGCGACCTATCATTATACTGTGTCAAACCGACAGCCGAATCTTACAGTAAGTACAGACATAGTTTCAGCCCCGAGCCCATTCAGTTTGCTTTAACACAAAGGAATTTCGAATAAATTTTCCAAAAACTTAAAAGTCTTTTGCGACACACGTAGAAAAATTTACTTTTATACCGTAAATCTACAGCAATCTGTGTCAAAAGCTGAGCCCTGAGCCCTATAATTACCTGCCTCAGCACTTGAAACTCTCCTTAATAACAGATTTGCTTAACACAAAAAACAGAGATTTGACTCACCTCCACTTATAGGGCAGACTGACTTTGCAATTAATTTAAGGAAGCTAACTAAAAATGTGGCAAATTCCAATAAATGGTCCATCATGCCTTTTACATATATGTAGCATAGCTTAATAACTTTTTTTTTCAGCAATAAAGGTCTAACAGAGGTGCCAGGCGAGATTCCTCACTTTGCGACAGAGCTATACCTCAATAGGAACAGAATCTCGATTGTCAGTGCTGCTTCTGGCCTGTCAAAACTTCGGAACTTGCTGAAGCTGTGAGTTTTTAAGATAATTTTAGGCCTTAAGTCCAGCAATCTTTCCCAAAGCCTTCTTTTTTAGGGACCTTTCATTCAACAATATAATTGCTGTAGAAGAGGGTAGCCTTGCAGATATGAAATCCCTGCGCGACTTGTAAGTGTTGATGAAGTCATTGGAGACCATTGTGGTACCCTCAGTGGAATTTAGATTGACATCTGCACTTTACAGAAACCTCTCGCATAACAAACTACGACACTTCTTCAGTGCCGTCCTTGGATCGTCTAACATACTGGAAGTACTGTAAGTGAGCGACAATGTCGATATACGCGTCATGTCCTTGTGTGTGCGTCGTGCTAACCCGGCTTCGCGTTTTCAGTTCTCTTGGTTCGAACCTGTTGCAATACCTAACACCAACTACCATCGGCAACCTAACCCAACTGCGTTTTATGTGAGCTCCAAGCCTTTTCTAATTCCCTCTTTAACACATTTGTCAACCTCACCTAATGAAAATTGCTAGACCTAATGCCAACAGAAGAACAACTCCCATATTTAGCTTGAAACTTGAGAGTTATCGAGTCCTATCGCTCCCCATCACAACTGCTTTAAG